TGCGGAGAAACAAAGAATACAGATTCTCAGTTGTCCTAGATGATCGGTGAGTCCGGTCTGGGCACACTTAGGGTTCGCCGTTTGATTTTAGGCAAGATTTCAAGGTAAAAATGTAAAACTAATATAGAATAAGGAAATTAGCATACAGCCTAAAAAATTACATAGAAATCTCTTTTCAAACAATTGCTTTTATACCCTAAAAAATCTGGAAGATTTCTTTGAAAAATGAGGGTCTTAAAAAACTAAACATGGCTAAAATATGTAGACTGGTTTGTGTTGAGCTGCCATCTACTATAAATAAAGAAGGTTCAGAGAAACCTATAAATCCTTTTTCATTCAATTTTTCTGTCCGTACAGAAGGAAATTTTTAGGCGCAAAGGGTTAAGTAGTGACTAATATATACAGTTAGTCACAAAAGTCTGCGTACAGACTAAATTTTAAATTAAAAAAACACTTAAAGCATAGAAAAATGTATTTTAATCATTGCATTTTTTTTTTCTATTAGCTAAAATTGTAAGCTTAAATAAAAAGTAAATAATATCAGTGTAATACTTTTTACATTTTTTCAAAAATATATTTTGTCAAAAAAACTCAGAAATTCCCTCCAATAAGTCTGCGTACACTTTAAAAAAAAGCAAAATATAAGTTTTTTACATTACTTCAATACTTTGTAGGATATCCTTTATTCTTCAAAACAGCTTGCAGACGTCTGGGCATTGACTGAACTAGTTTTTTTCAGTGTCATCCGACGTAAATTTCGCCCATTCTTCCTGCAATTTACTAATTAGCTTATTTCGCGACGTAATATTGTGTTTTCGAATTCGTTTCTCCAATTTTGCCCACAAATGTTCGATTGGATTGAGGTCTGGTGACTGTGGAGGAGTACGCAACTGTCTTGGAGTGTGATAGAGGAGATATTCCTTCACAATTTTAGCTGTATGTTTCGGGTCGTTGTCTTGTTGGAAAATAAAGGTATTAGAAAGGTTTAAATTTCGGGCACTGTCTCGTAGATTTTTCTTCAGAATATCCAGATAAACATACTTATCCATGACTTTATCAATAATGTGAAAATTTCCAACTCCTTTCGACGACATACACCCCCATACCATCACACCGCCAACTCCATGTTTGACAGTTGGATTTAAATTTCTCAGATTCAGTTCTGTTCCTGGTTTTCTCCATACAATAGGGTGGCCATTAACTTTAAAAATGTAAATTTACTTTCATCTGACCAAATTACACTGTTCCAGAAGTCCTGCGAAGAGTTTAAATATGTTTTGGCAAAAGCAATTCTTTTCTTTCTATTTGTCTCGGAAATGTATGGCTTAGACCTAGGTTTGCATCCATGATAATCTGACTTTCGCAGCACTTTACGTACAGTTTCAGGAGAAATTTCCTTGTTGCTAGTTAAAAATTTTTTTTTGCAATGCTTGCAGCAGAAAGTTTAGGATTTTGTTTAATTCGTAAAAGAATTTTTCTTTCTTCTCTCTGCGTTAGCTTCTTCGGTCTCCCACATCTTGGTTTTACAGCAAGACTACCAGTGTCAAGATAGTTTTGAATAACTCTTTGCACACTAGAAAATGGTTTTCCAATGGTTTTACCAATATAACGAAGAGTTTTACCTTCATCTCTCAATTTGATAATTAGTTGTCTCGTAACTAAAGGAATTTCTTTATTGGTTGTCATTTTCGTCAAAGAAAATAGAAATAGCAACTTCCAATCAACGTGAAATTTGCTTCGGAAGTCAATGACCTTGAAAGTGTAACCTTCTTTGCATTCTCAAGTTTGAAGTTTAAAAGTTAGATAAGAAATCCCCCGCCTCCTTCGCGTTGTACGCAAACTTTATTGGCTTTGATTTCTGGCCACTTATCTTTTAAAAATTAGTGTGCATAAATTATTAGATATGAAAATATTACAGTTAAATAATTTCAAAGTCCCTTATTGAAACTAAATATTTAAAAAATAAAACTTTAAGAAACTACCATTTTCGCACCTTAAAATTTGGATTTGATATTACTTTTCTTGATGTACACAGACTTTATTGACTAACTGTAGGTTAACAGGTCGCTAACATGGCTAAAACTACTGACACTTATAATTCGGCAAAAACAAAAATAATAATTTTCTCTACATTAAGAGGAATACTTGAGACACAAGACAGCAAACCACTGCCTACAGAGTCACATAAAAAGCATATTTTTGAGAAAATAATGGATACCCTTGAATCTGGCCAGGCAGCAAAATCGACAGGCAAATCCTGGGCTAGCAATGAAGACACTTGTAAAATGTTTTGTCGAAAACCCCGTAAAGACGCTGTGGAAAACTTCACATTACAAACAGGCAACGATAGCCTGGCACATCATCTTAAAGGGGCTTATACACCTTAAACCCCTTATGATCTTCGAATATGTGACTGTTGCAAGAATTGGGATAACGTATTTATTTTAAAAGCAATTACCGCCAACTTTTTACGGCTGACTACATAATATAGCTGCTTTCTGAAATCGTAACCAGAAAGTTTGTGTTGCCACAAATATTTTTTATAATTAATCCGTTTGTGACAAAAATTTTCGTCATGTTTTCACCTTGCGCGCACAGTTTAAAATTATCTGTTGCATATTAATTCCATAGTTTAATATAAGCTTTTAAACATTTGGAAACGACTGTAAACCAAAAAAAGACTGAGAATTTATATTAAATTTTTATTTATTTTCGAGTTGAGTTTATAAAATGTATTTTATTAAAAAAATCTGTAATGTTTTCGTGCATAAAATTTTTTAATATTAAAATATTCATCAGATTTTTGGTTCAGTTAGAAAATAGTGCTCATATAAAGAATTCCATCCAATTTCAAGTATGTACCGTTAGCCATTTTTAAAATAGCATGCGCGCAATGTGGAAAAATGACGAAAGATTTTGTCACAAAGTTGATTAAATTACAAAAATATTTGTGGCAACACAAACGTTCTGGTTACTAGTTTCCAAAGCAGCTATATTATGTAGTCAGCTGTAAAAGGTTGGACTTTTAAAATAAATAAAATGTCTCAATTCTTGCAACAGTCACATAATTGGAAGCTCATAAGGGGTTTAAGGTGTATGAGCCCCCTTAATAAACTTGGTCTCCTTTCATCTAGTATATGCCCAATTTGAAATTCGTGCATCATGATTGCTGAGCATCTTCTTATGCGCCCAGAATTAGATCAAGAGTCTCAGAAACATGGTGAGATACTGGAATGAACTCCATGAACTCCTTGTAAAGACTACATCTCTTATGTTCCTTACCTTTGTTGTTTAAATTCTCAACCTTTTACTCTAGTTCCCATGTTCATTTATTCTGGTTCTAGCTTTAAATGTTTGTTCTTTTTTATTATATATCATTGTTCTTGTGTGATACTTGAGCTGTTTTATATGTTTGGATTGATCCTTCCAGTAAAGCCATATGTAACAACAACAACCATTTTCTCTTATGCACGTGATAATTTTTCGGAAGAACAAATTAATTGTACTGCGGAAGTTCTGTTTCGCCAAGTTTATTAAGACGCCAATATGGTACTATTTGATTTTCACAGCCTCTGTTATCAAAACGGCGCCAAGATTATCGCCAAATTTAAGCTGCTCGCATTTAGTTTGTGGCTGCTGTATCTCCCCAGTTGCTTTCAATATGGCATCAAAAGACCTATCTTTACCAAAGGATTTCTGACACACTAATTCGGAAAGATACGACTCTAGATGATGTCTTTGCTTTTAGTTTCGCCATTTAACACAGCCCCACAATCTTTCCTCATTTGTGTGTGAGGACTCGTTGTTGAATCAACAAAATTAAATGTCTGATTCACAGTTAAATAGCTGCAACCAAGATTCTCAAGCTCGTCTGTTTTATAGGCTTTCCCAACAGTCTGAATACACTGTCGATCCTTCTACTATGTGGTCTGCTATCGTTGATATCAATGTGCTTGCTTCCCAATTGCGAGCCTGACCAAGAAAGCACAAGCCACGTTCATGGCATAACCTGCCTTTATTGTGGAAGTGCTCCTCCAGAGTTGTTGTTGATTTTCCCCGCATGAATAAACTGTCGTCAATTTTGACTATTTTTCCAGGCCACCTAACTTGTCCTTTAGGTTATGGTTATGCCCCACTGACGAGCTTCCGACCTAAGGTAAAACGAAACGGGATGATGCCTGATTAAGTGGAAAAAACAACAAGCAGCCACCAAAATACGGTACTGGCTGAAAGACCAAACGCCATCAACTGTTCTTAATCAGGAAATTTGCAGAAAAGTAGTTTACGAAAATGATTACAAAGACATCTTGTATAAATTGCTACGTAAGGATACATAAGATTGTCCAAGTACATCTAGCGAACAAAACACCCTCATAAAATTGTTCAATCGTGGTATTTTGACAGATGTTGTGCTGTTCATCACACCACTTAGTTCCTCTGCCCAACACTCGATGAAACACAGCCCTATTAGAAATGGTATTCTGGAATTACTAAACGAGTTATTGGAAAGAATTGTTTAGTTGGTGACTGGAAAAATACCCACAGGAAAAAAAGCCCACAGGAATAATGCTCACAGAATAATGCTCACAGGTATAAATGCTCATAGGAAAAAAAGCCCACACAGAAATATGCCCACACAGAAAAAAGCTCATGTGGAAAAATGCTCACTTAGAAATATGCTCACACGGAAAAAAGCTCACATAATATATGCTCACATGGAAATAAGCCCACTGATAAATAATTCTTTGGCTGGCTGAATTCTTAGTTTTTCCTTAGAAACTCTAATTTTAATTGCAAAAATTGTTTTTTAATTGTTTTAACTATATTTTGTGGTTTATATTTTTCCATATTTTTCAAGTTTTAATGAAGATATTTTGAGTTATGTATTTTTGCCTTGCCCCGAAGCCAGAATTAATTGAATGAGAAATATTAGCAAGAAGTTTAAGAATGGATCGAAATTTTTTAACATTTTAATAAATGAAAAGTATTTTATCTTACAGGCCCAATTCTATACAGATGATAAGAAAAAAGTTACTCTTCAAAATAGAATGTGAGTATACTGATAATTAACTGATATGTAATGAAACTGGAATTAATTTATATTGTTGATATTTATAAAAAGTTTTTAGGTTATTTTTTATTTAATCAGTTAATGCACAAATTATTTCTTTCCTTATTCTTAAAATTGTTCCTAGTGTCCTTAAAGAAGGCTTTTAAAAAATTTAATATGTATATGTTACTGGCAAAGTTTGAAATCCAAAAGGCTTGGTGTTTCATACTTTTCTGGTAACACTGAGTGGGGCACTGAAGCAAGAAAAATATCATAATGAGCCAACAATATCAGTTAATGTTCTAATTAAATACTGCTGTCATGGATACTTGTTATGAATGATTTTGAATTAGATACGCCCAACTTCGCAAAAGTTCGTTTTACTGAATTTTGCTTTAATCAAGAGACAGTTTTTCTCTTTCAAAATTTCTAACACGCTCTTATAAGAAAAGGTGCTAATACTGTTTAAAGTTTTTTCACTAAAACACCAGAAAAGAAAATATAATAGGGGGATCGGAAAGTAATGTCGTTTCTGCGCATGTCGACAACATGCTAAGGGCAGAAGTGGAAGCAAATCCATGTCAAACACTCTTAACGAAACGTGGTCGACCATCCAAGAACATTTAAAGCAGAATGGAATAATAAGCAAAGCAGGTGTTTAAGTCCCCCATAATCTGTCCAAAAAGAACAAAGCCAACCTATCCATCGCATGCAACGTATTGCTTCAACAGCACCCTACAGAACCATTTTTGGATCGTTTGATGAGTGGAGACAAAAAAATAAGTCCTATATGATAATCCAAAACTCAAAAGGCAGTTTTAAGAGGAGTTACAAAGGGTTTACATCCCGAAAAGGCGCTTACGGGTGTTTGATGAAGTATTCGCGGGATTGTTCATTTTGAACTTGCTGAAATCTGGAAAAACTGTTAATGCAGACCTTTATCGTGAACAACTGGATCGAGTGAACCAATCTTTAATCGAAAAATATTCGGTGATTGTCAATGGAAAAGGTGTCATTCTGCAACACGACAATGCAAGACCGACCGCAATATGCAAGACGAACACTGGAAAAATATAATGAATTGGGGTGGAAGGTACTGTCCACCCACCATATTCGCCCGATATCGCACCCTCGGACTTCCATTTATTCCGATCCCTACAACATTTTCTTAGTGACAAAAATTTGAAAATTTGGGATGCTGTCCAAAATGCCATCTCGAGATATTTTACTCAAAAACCAATTGATTTTTATCGGTCTGGGATTGAAATCGGCATACTAGATGGCAAAAGGTTGCTGATAACGACGGTGATTATATTATTGATTAAGAATAAAAACTTGTTACAAATTTATTCGTTTGAATTTAATGTAAGAAAGCGACATTACTTCCCGGTCCCCTAATACATGGCATATTTATTTAAAACACTTTCACTGAATGTTTTAATTGCCCATGAAGAACTGGCTGGATATGAGAAGGGAAAATATACGTCTCAAGAATCAAACATGCTGGCATTAACAGTACGCTTGCAATGGCGTTATCACATCTTATGATGTTTGGGCCTATGAGAAACTTTTCCGAGAAACAAGCGTCTTCTCCTTCTGCTAGTGGAAGGTTCCTAGCCAAGCCATATGTCAATGGAACCGATGTCCCGGCTAAGTAATTTAACCTCTTCGTCGTCCGTAACGCGCCTAGCGCGTTCAAGTGAAACTTCCACAGGGCAGCCGTAACGCGCTACAAGCGTTCTTCTACATTTTAAAACTTTTAAACGTTTAACGCTTTCTGAATGTTTACTTGTTTGAGTTTTTATTTTTGTTTGTTCGAATACCTCCTAGAGGGCAGTACTAATCAGGCATTCTATTTCTAATTGAATCCACCCCCGGTTTTTATGAATATTCGCGCCATTTTACATAAGACAGTGACTACTCAACAGAAAAACAGAAAAAATGAGGTTTCGAATTGGAAAGACAAGAAGGATGAGTACAGTCCATAAGAACTCGATGATTGATGTTGGAGCACGGAAAAAAACTGTAAAAAAAACCCAATAATTGTAAAAGATTACGACAACAAAATGGGAGGAGTGGACCGCATGGAACAGATGCTATCAAATTATCCTGCTGTTAGAAATAAACAGAGATATTATTATTTTCCCATTATGCTTTATTTCCTTATAATTTTACTTAATATTCATTGACGTTTATCCACTACGAAAGTCGCGTATGGAAAGTTATGATGTACAGAGAAAACAACATTACACGCTGCAAAAAACAGACGGCCCCTGGGGAGAAATTCTCGCGGTCAGGAGAGGACGGCGAAAGGGTTAAGTTAAGTAATTTAAGTTAATCCCGGCCCGGAAACATTTTATAATCAAAGTGAAAATACTTTTTAAAGCTGTGTTCCTGCTAGTTATTCCTCAAACAATTGGTTTTTGCGCAAGTCAGAGAATCAGATATCCCGGAAATGAAAATTCGAGTAAATGTTTTTTTCCGATGCGCTGTTGAGGGTAGGTAGTAGATGCGATATCGCATTTTATCCCATTTTCTGCCGCCCAGACGGTATAGTGGTTAGGGAAACCTACTGCGGTACAGAAGAGCCCGGATTCGAGTCCCGGAGGACGCATGGATGCTTGTATATTTACAATGTCTGAGCGATATGGGAGTACTCTAAAAAATATGCAGTGAAACGATAGTCCTTTCGAGAGGTTGAGGGTAGCGGAAGAGGAAGTGGGAGACCACGGAACAGTCCCTCCGGGGTGCTCTCCATCAAAATTGGGGGGGGGCGGAACTGAGAAAAGTCGTACTGTCACCTGTATGCTGCTCAAGGTTGTTGCCAACTACAGGCGCAATCTTGCACACTCCTTGCCACGATGAACTTCGTGGGCTAGTTCTGATGTGAAGACAAGTGAAATAAGTCACAACCGCATTGTCTTTTGCGTGCTCTTACAGTGTTGCAAGAGCTGGCAATTGAAATATCCATGGTTCGAATTCAAGTGAGGCCACAATTGATTCTTATATCTCCTGGCTCGGAAAAAAATGTAACAATTTTTATTCTGACACCCAAACTATAAATTATACACAGTAGAAAATGACTCAACACCACCTGGACCAAGTCGACAGAGTTTCGTGCCTCACTGCAGTCGCCTTTTAAGTGGTGAGAGCCTTTCAGGAGTTATGGAATTTTTTGTAGCGCACTTATGGGATGTTAACGTACAGCAAACCTCATTCAGATCCGTGCTCTAATTAAGAAGGAGGGGGGGAATTGACACTTTCATGATACTCCCACGGAAAACTTAATAACTCTTTGCGTTAGTTTCTTTCTTCTTTCGGCCCACCCCAGCGGCCGAGCGGTAAAGTCGCTGAACACTGGTAGTTCGGTCAGAGGTTCGAATCCCGCGAACGGGCAGGGGTGTTTTCGTGGTTTTTTCTATGGTTTGGTTTGGTTTATGCGATTACAGCAAAGCCTCGAGGGCTATCTGGATAAGGGGAGGGATGCCTTCGTTGAGGACTTTTTAAGGAAAACTGGCTCGTATACACGTTGCACGTAGGGAAATCTATGAAAACGCCCATGCAGCCAGCCCGTTCATGAAGTTCGAACCTCAGACCGAACTACCAACGATCAGCACCTTTACCGCTCGGCCGCTGGTGGGCGGTTTTTACTCTGCGTAACGTGTATACGAAGCAGTTTCCTTTAGAAAGTCCTCCACGAAGGAATCCCTTCCCTTAGGCAGATAGCCGTCAAGGCTTTGACATATAAAAACAAAAAACAAAAAAAAAAAAAGCTTTGAGTTTTATATCTGTGACTTCGGTCAAAAAAACACTCGACTTTGGTACAGAATCGGGCTTGTTTGTATGTATTACACTATACATGTTCATTCATATGCATTATATATTCAGATATGAATATTCATACGTATCATATAAAACAATTAGTCAGTTTTATGTCTGTAATATATGTAAGTCTTTCAATGACAATTACGGGACCTCGATTTTCAATGGCCACGGCGAAAGATACAGCGAAATAAAATAACCTTTATTCATTTATCTTAGTTCGAAAGAGGTTTCGTTTCATATGCCATGAATATTTTCAATTCATTTTACTTTATATTTCACTTCAAATACATTTTTCACCTTATTCCTACATTAAAAGCAAATTCAATTCCTTAGAAAGAATATTAAATTCCCTTTAAAATTTAATAATTTGATTTATATGTCTTTACAGGCGGCAACTGACATTAGTGAGGATCTACTACAAGGCCATCGAACGGAAAATTTATGAGCATGTGCCACAGTATGACGTAAGTATCGAAACTTTCAGAAAATAGCATTGTACTGAATGCTTCAATTGTTACGGTTCAATTCTGGACCATTAAAACGTTTCAATGAATAATAAATTAGCTTGCATTCATTCGTAATTCTTCTAAGTTAGATCTTTCCTCTACATTCGTAAACTGAAGTTTCTAGACAAAACGACAGGACGTGACGTGAATTTAATTACTATAATGTCATTTGTTCAGACAGAAATTCGGGAATAGTTTAAAATGTTAAAATTGTTTGCTGTGACAGTTAAATGGGACTTGTCAGAGAAGCTTAAGATAGTTTAAAAAGATTTCCGGGAAGAAAAAAAAAAAAAAAAAATATTAATATTGACATAGAATAAGTATCGACTTTAATTACTGCTTTTAATTATAGATGTGGATGTAAAATCCCTATTAAGGAAATGTACGCTGCTCAAAAAAGAAATAGAACTGTTCTATATCTCCCGTTCTACTGGGTCGATTGACGAAATTCAACTTACTTTTTTTCTTGTCTCGAAAGCGCGACTAAGGATATGTATTAGATTTATATATAGCATTTAATTTTATAATTTTACAATAAATCAGTTACTTTAAATATAACATTTTTTAAATAATTTTCAAAACCTAAATTAAAATTAAATTTTACTTCAAAATAATTTTATTCGTACTTTTTTTCAAAAACATTTTCAAATTTTACATCCTTAATATTTTACATTCCTTAATAGTTTACAACATGTTTTTCACATAACGTTACAGTTCGCATTTTACAATTTTTTACACATTTCTACAACAGAACACACATTTTACATTACTTAAAAGTTTACAGAATAGGTTTTTTTTTTTTTTAATTGATCACAGAAAGCAGCTTTACACTCAACTTAACCTTACATTAGCACCCTCTATTTAAAGTTTGCAGAACACACTAAGATTGACAATACTTCTTCACTCCCCAAAAACAAATATAGTTGGTAAGTTAAAATAAAACTTACTATTTACTTGCCTTTTGATTAAAGTATAATTTATGTATTATTTTTATAGATAATGTCTAGTTTCTTTTTAATTTTTTTGCCTAATTCGTGTCGGGGAAGTTTCTGTAGGCAAGAGTTTCTAATTACGAGGGCATTTCGAAAAGTAAAGATACACTGTACGCCAGAGGAAAAGAAAAGTTTTGGTGAGCAAGTTGGCAACACAAGTGTTAACCTTGAACCGTTAGCTTTCTCCTCGCGGTCGTTCGGCATTTCAACGTTGATTCTGGTTGGAGTAGGTCGTGTTTAAAATGGCTGCGCCGATTCAGAATCCCGCCAAATGCGAAGTGTGCTCCATCATACGTTTTCTTCCTGCAAAAGGTCAGCGACCAGTGGATATTCACAAAGAAATTGTTTCTGTTTATGGGAACATTATGAATCGACAAAATGTAACGAAATGGTGTCGTCATTTCTCTGAAGGTAGGACCGATGTTCACGACGAACAAAGAACAGGTCGGCCATCTGTGATCTCTGATGCCCTTCTTCAGAGAACAGAGGAAGCAATTCGTGCGAATAGACGTCTCAAATTGAAAGAATTGCATCAGATCATACCGGAAGTGTCAATGACAACTCTTTATGAAGTTGTGACTGTCAAGTTAGAGCACAGGAAATTGTGTGCGCGCTGGGTTCCAACAGGCGGCAACCTTCTATGACTATGGGTGTGGTGTGGTGTATTTAATTATGGCAAAGCACACTAGGGCTATCTGCCTAAGGGAGAGGGATGCCTTCGGGAAGGCCTTTCTAAGGGAAACTGGCTCGTATACACGTTACACATGAGGAAAACCACGAAAACACCCATGCAGCCAGCCAATTCGCGGGATTTGAACCTCGGTTTCTATGACTGTGGGATACAAAAGCTTGTGCGCCGACTTAACAAATGTTTGGATAACGAGGGGGATTATGTCGAAAAATAATAAATAATCCAGTTAATAAGATGTAACTGACGTTTTCTAATTTTTTTTTTTTTTTTTTTTTTTTTTTTTTTTTTTTTTTTTTTTAAGGGAATGAGAGCCATTGTATCTTTACTTTTCGAAATGTCCTCGTACTTTGGTTTTCTAAAAATTTGGTTTTCTACTCTTATTTATTAATTTTTTAATTTTAACTCTAGTCTTTTAATTGCTGATTACTCGGAATTCCACTTGTTTGGATTTCTTTTTGGTAATTCACCACATTTGGTATTTCTTCTGGTTTTGGCTTTTACCCTTGTCTACATGGATGACGAAACACGAATTGAATGATTGAAGAGTTAGGTTTGGAGGCAACTTCATCTTGATAAGTTTGCCTCCTGCCTGCTCAGCAATCATTCACTTATGCATTTTTATAAAAAAAAATGTTAGGATTAAATAATTTTTGGAATTTTAATTTTATATTTATTCATGGATTTTGATACTTGCACTTGATTTGCATATGCTCTTAGAATTTAAATGATATTGTAGATTAGTTCGAAACAATAATTAATCATTTATTTGTTTGCATTAAACTTCATTTAAATTTATTAACTTTAAAATTTGCCTTTTGCGAATAGAGAATGTTTTTTAATTCAAATTATTGTAATATAGGTATTTTGACACAAATCGGACTTTTTCAGAAATAACATGCCAATTTTTTCCTATATTTCGATTCAACGACTCAAATTATGCCAAAGTGCCAATTGTAAAAATCGCGCGAGTACTTTTTAAACATTAGCTCTCAAAACTATTCTTCCTTTCATATTTCGAAATTTAAGTTCATTCCCAATAAAATTCGCCCATTTTTTATCATTTATTTTTAAAATTTTTATAAATTTTTCGAAAAACAAATTTGAATTATAAAAATTTTACCCTCATCTTAAAGTAGATGTGATTCTAAGCATACCTGGAAAAAATTAGAGTTTTTTATATTCAAAATTACCTAAGATATACGTGAATTCACATACTGGGGCGTTTTGAAATTTGGCGTATTTGTTATAAGCGATAACAACGCCAAATGTCGTTTACGCACTTTGTTAAAATTATTTGAAAGTATGAAAGATTACGTTTTTCCGTTCGTCTACAATAAACAAAAAACGAATGGAAAATGGGTTGCTATAAATTAAGAAGTTCGCCAAGTGAACTATTCTTGGCGCAAACTGAAAAAAATGAGCCAAGATAAATTTCTGAATTTCTCCCTAAATTTTGCACCAAATTTTACAAAATTTAATATTTAGATATGATTTGAATATGGAAAAAATTTGGCATGTCATTTCAGACAAAGTCCGATTTTGTGTCAAAATACATATATTAAAACAATGCTATATATAAATCTAATATATATCCTATGTCGAGTTTTCGAGACATGAAAAAAGCAAGTTGAATTTCGTCAATCGGCCCAGTAGATCGGCAGATATAGAAAAGTCCTTTTTGGGGGGGGGCGCAGTGTACATTAATATACCCAGTTGATATTGTTCAGTATAATGCGTCTGAATAACTTCTCATATCCAAAATTCTAAAGCAAACATTCTGTACAAACTCAGAATCACAATGCATAAAACACTGCTAAAATCCTCATTCGGCACAGTCAAAATCTCGACACTCTTTAATAACCACATTCTATATTAGCTTTTGAAAGTGACTAATAATAATGAATTTCAATGTCATTCTTTCTTGTTATAAAATGTTAATACTTATTTAATATATATAAAAAAGAAGGCATTGATTAAAGTAATTTATGGAGTCTTTGTTTATTAAAAATTAGTAAAAGGTTCTTGTTTAATTAATTGAGAAATAATAATTAGCCCAAACGGAGTCAGCCCAGAAGAGCTATTAATTTCGTTTTGGTATCTTGCTTTTTGAATTCACTTTCAGACTGTTGCCACCCAATATTATAGTCGTGTGATATATTTAAAAAAATTTAACGATGAAGATTCTGCATAAATGTATGTATGTTTCTCACATTGTGATAAAACAACGGTACCTAGAGCCATCCAATTGTGAAGCGCGTAATCCTCCACCGAATATGGACATCTGGAAGCCCTAAATTGGAATTTGTTTCATTCTCTTTCATATTTTATAAAACTTTAAAGAAATTTTTGATTAACAAACTTAACGATTTCAAGGCAAGTAATGGCAACACTGTACGGGGGGGAAAAACGTTTTTATCTCCAGCGCTAGAGACTGTGTATCGGAAATTCTAAAGTTACGCTGATTTTAAAATTATTTTGCGATATTGCTGTTGAAGTGAATTTTATAGTTTAAGTGCAAAGAACATGATATTTAATAAATAAAGGTCTAGAGTCATTAGGTTAATTGGAAGCAGAAAAGATGAAAAATATGCAACCGCCTTCGCCAGGAATCGAACCACGGACCTCTGGGATACCGTCCAACGTGCTGACCACTACACCACGACGGCACGCTAGGGAAGTGAGAGAAATAACTTATATACTCCCCTTTTTAAAGGGCGACTAGGGTTTTAGGGGACCTAGTCGCCAAATCTTGGGTGCGGAGAATCATCATCCACAACCCTTTTAGTTCGGGCGCCACTTGTAGAGTCATTAGGTTAATCGGAAGCAGAAAAGATGAAAAATATGCAACCGCCTTCGCCAGGAATCGAACCACGGACCTCTGGGATACCGTCCAACGTGCTGACCACTACACCACGACGGCACGCTAGGGAAGTGAGAGAAATAACTTATATACTCCCCTTTTTAAAGGGCGACTAGGGTTTTAGGGGACCTAGTCGCCAAATCTTGGGTGCGGAGAATCATCATCCACAACCCTTTTAGTTCCGGCGCCACTTGTAGAGTCATTAGGTTAATCGGAAGCAGAAAAGATGAAAAATATGCAACCGCCTTCGCCGGGAATCGAACCTCGGATATCTGGAATACCGGCCCTGCGTGCTGACCACTACACCACGAAGGCACGCTAGGGAAGTGGGAGAAAAAGCTTATAAAGGTAACACACAAAACATTAAGAAAACAGATTTCGTTTTGGCATTTTGCGTTGGTTCACTATAAATGTTGGTTCACTTTTCAAATTGTTGCCACCAAATATTGGAGCCCCCCCCCATTATATTTAAAGAATCTAAAGAAATCTGCATGAATATATGCATGTTTCTCTCGCTGCGAAAGAAAACGGTACCTAGGGACATCAAATTTTCAATAAGTTGTCCTCCACTAGAATATGCGGATCTAGAAGCCTGAACTTCGAATTTAGAATTAGTTTTATTATCTATTTCATAAAACTTTAACGAATGTTTGATTAAGAAACTCAACGATTTCGAATCGAGCAATGGCAACACTGTAAAAAAAATATCTCTCCAGCGCGCGAGACTGCGTATCGGAAATTCTAAAGATACGCTCATTTTAAATTGAACATGTTAATAATAAAAGTAACACACAAAACGTTAAAAAAAAAACGCTTGTTTGGGCGTAATATAAAATCTGAAAGCTTTTAGATTTTTAATCATTTTTTTACCTTTATAATTTTATTAAAAATAATTTCTAACATCTTGTTTTATTTTTCAGAATCTTGAACTGTTTAGCTCTTTAGGAGGATACAGTGGAATTTGGTTGGGATTTTCTTTACTCAATTTGTGTGAATTGCTGGAAATCATCGTTGCCACTCTAAAATTTGCTTTGTCAAAATGGGACAGAAAATTAGATGCAGAAGATACATCCAAGCCCTTTCATACTCTGGCTTCAAAAAAACTTTTCGTCGAAGCTTATGCCGGAAAAACTCTCTTTCCTCATATGAAGCCTAAAATAGTCTTTTTAAAAAGACGAAAGAAGCTTGAAACTTAATGCAAAGTTAATAGAAACATGTGTAAGTAAAATCATAGTGATAGGTTTAATAAGATATGGTTGTTAAGTACGAACTGTAAATTTTACAAAAGTGCAATTAATGTAATATACACTGCAGAAATTTAAACATATAAATAAGAATCATCACATTTTGAGAAATAAAGGCTACTTTCGTATAAAATGATGATGTTTATTGAAAGAATTAAAATTTTATAAGCACTCAGAAAACATGTATACCCAGAAATATCCTTTTTCCATATACAAATATTTGAAGTTGGACACCACATGACTACCTTATACGGCTTAATAAATTATACACATTTTCCCTGCATTTCATTTAGATTTATTTCCTCGAATTTCACTACACATAATATATTTCTCATTCAATTAACTTCACATCAAAGCAGATTTTTTGGTGCAAGAAAAATAAAAGTTACATTTCGGTCCCACTCGGCAAAAAGATACTGAAGGTGCAGAAAGACTTAAATTCACTGCTCTGCTAAGTTTGAAATGTAAACAAGTATGGCTGCTATGCTAAAAACAAAATAGTATTATCCGCACTTAAACAATTATTAAAATGTTGATAATTCTACAACTATAACATATTATATAAATCATTCAATTGATTCACTTCTCACTTCGCGACAAGGAAAAAATACATAAAACATCAAAATATCCTTATTAAAAATTGAAAAATATTAAACGCCAAATGCAGCGAAAATAATAATAATTTTTTTTACAATTAAAGTTAGAGTTTCTAAGCAAAAACAAGCAATTTGACCAACGGGCAAGAAGGTGAGTTTTTTGTTCACATAACTGAAGGTTTACTTTTGCTCCCACTCGGCAAAAAGACACTGAAGGTTCAGAAACTGACTTTGTTCCCTATTTTGCTAAGTTTCAAATGTTAACAAATGTGGCTGCTATGGTAAAAAATTAGGCTTAGCCTGACTTAAACAACTTTTAAATTGTTGATAATTCTACAACTATTGCATGCAGATTAACTAAAGGCATAAAAACCTTAACCGGAAGATAAGAACAACATAATCATTTTAAAGCAAAAAATGCGCAATTAATCAACATATAATAATAAAAAAAAAACTGAGATCACCCAGCCGAGTAACCGAGTAGGGTGAATCTTCAGATTGGTAACTTCGCGATTTTTTGGCGACCAACCCTGCTACAGCAACCTGCTAGTTTTGTTTTGGACGCCATTTTGTTTTCACGAAGTAAAGGCATATCTTTTTTTTTTTTTTTTTTACTCAACATTTTTTTTCCAACAATCTGCTAGCCGAATTACGCTTATCCTAGAACTTTTATGGAACAAAAATGCTTACTCATGACGAAGAGTAGGTGCGAAATTGGGAGAAAGTGCAGAATCGCAAACTGCTTGCCGCGTTTTTAAGAATTGCACGTACAAGGTATCCATGTACACGTCGACCTATTTTCACTTAAAAAAAAATCCCAGAGTTGCACAAAAATGGCATTGCGCATACTCTTGACTTTATCCATATGCACATCGACCAATTTTCACTTAAAAAGTCAAAGAAAATTGACAAAAATTCAATTCTTCTTTCTCTTGTAAAAAGCGCCAAACAAATAAGTGGGCGATTCTGCAGTTTAGCAGCGAAATTGTTTCTAAGTGCTTATTAGCTAAAATCACGATTGGAATTTTCTGGAAAATGTTACATTACATGTCTCATGATCTCTCATTTCTCTGAGACAAAATAATCTGTGCATTTCTCAGATTATTGCTAAAGTCCTAGCTAGTAACCTTTATCGCCTTACCAAAATGTCGCCAACTACCTGTTACCATATTCCAAAGATTAGCCCAGAGTAGTTATATATAATATATATGTAATAATAAAATTCCATAGTCAAGAATACACTTTGTAATAATAAAATTCCTAGTCAAGAATACATATATATATATATATATACTTTTTGGTGCGAGCGATTGCTACCAAAAAGGGAGTTGCACAACTATATATTATTGCACTCCTTTATACAAAATTTCAACTTTCTGAGGATACTCGTTTTTGAGTTATGTGAGATACAAACATACATACGTATACGTACGTACACACGCCACGAAAAAGTCCCTTCTGAATCCATTTTAAATCAATTTTATAATTCGTTTGAAGAAAAAGATTCCTTTATTCTGTAGAGACATCACGCAAAAATATCGTTAAATTGCATTCGATAGCGGTCAAAATGGGTATTTTCGTATAAATATGACACCCGGAATATTTCGTGATTACAATATTTCGTACAAGGAAGTAAAAATTATCCACATTTTCAACATTATTTGTATCCGCACCCTGAACATTATTTACATATAATACATCGAACTTACTAGCATGCGCAATATCAACATTAAAGCATCTTATTTGGTCGCTCAGCTTTCCTCGACGACGCAGAACCATCGTTATTTTAAATTGTTTCCTGAATAAGTTTTTTTTTAAATCTTTTTAGATCCAATTTTAACAATTTAAAAAGCGACTTCGGGGTTTTCATCTAAACATTTGAAAACATTACTAAAAATTTCAGAAAATAAGGCGACACCTTTATCATCAGAATCATTACCAAATAGCTCCAGCAGTAATACAAAAATTAATAGAAGAGCCATTACATAACTGAAGATCATGGCACTTACCTCTTAAACTCTTGAGACGATTTTCCATTGATGAATTTGTTTTTCCACAACTTGGGGGTAAGTCTTCAGGTCCACGTGCAGGTTGAGCTCGAGAAATTTTTCAGATAATTCCCGAAGATTTACGTCACGTCCCTTTAGATTAGAAAGTTCAGGCTGTTACAAAATCCGTCTCATTTAATTTTTCTTTACGAAGTAAGCAATCAATAATCTCATCCAGTTCAGTTGTTTCAAAATCAAAGTCATCGTTTTAATCACATTAACTATCCGAAAGGCACACAAGCTTAGAAGCCATTGTAAAATTAGCACAGAATATCTAACACAAGTATTGGGTTGAAACATAAGTAATGGCAGTTTTTTTTTAATTTAAAATTTTTTATTTTAAGAAAACAATAAATTAGTCAATAATATCCGGATTTTTTGGGCTTTCCCCATAGACCCATATGTCGAACTATAGTCATTTGGCTACAACCCATTCGTTTGGCTAATTCTCCAGTGGTTTGACGCGCCTGTTCGTGCACAAGTTGGTTCAAACGCTTTTCATCCAATTCGTTTGGTCGTCCGGAACGAGCTGCGTCTTCGAGGTCGGCCAGTACTTATGTTTCAACCCTATATATGGTACACGCGGAATTTCGGCGACATTTGGGAGGCGATAAAGTTTACATTCTGTGTCAACCCTTCTAGCGACATTTATTGAGGTTTTTTTTTTCCTTTGTTTAGTTGTTGATGGCATAGATCAGCGATTCTCAACTGGTAAGCAAAAGAAAAATAGATGGCATCTAAGGAAACCAAGGAAAAGAGTATTTTTAACTATTAAATTCAAAAACCTCGTGACGAAAAAGAACAATTGGTAGAAACTTCCTATGATTGAACTCTAACTGAAGATTTCAAAAATAACACAGTCGTTGACTTTTGGCTGAACCCCTCCAAAAAAAGAATATTAAGACATTTCAAATAAAACTATGAAATTTTGGTACTTTTCCGTTTTGCCGGGGCAAACGATAAAGTCGCCAACAATGGTACAACTGATGCCAAAAGGAATATCTTCGCTGGTAACTTTTTACGCCTCATTTTTTAAACACGTCACAACCATTTCTTATCAGAGTGATTGTTTCTTTCAATACTGGCATAAAATTACATAGAATTTTTATCAGATAGTTAAATTTTATGCCCTAAGACCATTCATTCAATTAGAATGCAATCACATCGCTCACCCGAAGATGAAAATACAGAAAAGGCAAAATCAAGGGTTAAATTCATCCATTCTAATGAGAATGCACTAGCGAAGTAAAGCAATGCGGTTTTACATAATTTCTGAGTAAGCTATTCGTACGAATTGAAATAATTCTTGCATTTAAACTTGTATTCCAAATTAAGATTTATTTGAAATTAATGTACTTGTATTCCAAATTAAGATTTAATTGAAATTAATGTAGATAATTGCTGAGAGAATTAGATTTTTGTAGCATAGTTTACGTGAGATGAGATCACGTGGGGTCACGTGATACGAACCGACGAATCAGGATGTTGAACATGAAAGCAAAGTAAATTCTTAATGTCTTTTTATAATTTTTTGTCTTTATTTATTGGCTTTTTACAAAATTTTAAACCATATTAAAATGTTTATTTCTTCAAAATAAAAAATTCTTAAAACTAACGTTTCTTAAATTTTTTTACGTGTATACTGTACGTTGTCGCCAACAAAGTCTGCTTGGCGAGATTTGGAAACGGAAAAGTACCGAAATTTTATTGCCTTTTTGCACTACCTATTTTTGTGAACGAAGATTTTCTTTCACGTTATATTTCAAAATAAATACAGAACAAAATTAAAAGTGGATCCTAATTTTCGATTAAAACTAAATGAAAGACATAAAGAAGACCAGACATAAAGAAACAGATATCTCTTAAACAGGCCCGAATTCCACACAAAATTTATAATTTAAGTAATATAACTTAAATTTTGATATTTAAAATGGTAACCAATTTTTAATTAAATATTCTTTATGCTTGCATATTTAATACAAATAGCCAATAGCTTGTGCAAATGGCAAAATACATATATTCTTTTTTAATATTTCTATTGAGAAATTTAAAAATAATCATTGAAAAATGTAGTGGTGATAAAAAAGTTTTTCAATTTTTGGTTAGATGGTACACGTTAGTCAAAAGGTTGAGAACCGCTGGTACAGATATCTTGCATTCTTGGAGGGAGACTGATTTTAATTTTGGCGACTTTTTCAGTCTGGATAGCGGTAAATTTTATTCATAATGAATGAGCAATACGTAAAGTTTTTTGGGTTAATTTTTGAATTATGGTAACTTGGCGATTTTTTGGCGAAAATTTGGCGACCAACACTGCTACAGCAACCTGCTAGTTTTGTTTTGGACGCCATTTTGTTTTCACAAAGTAAAGGCATGTTTTTTTTTTTTTTTTTTTTTTTTTTTTTTTTTTACTCAAAATTTTTTC